ATCTTAGGGGTTTACTTAGTTGTTTTGGCCCCATTATATAAACTAAATATAGAAGTTGGTGACCATGTTTCTGTTGGTAGACTCAACCATTGAATCAAAGACAGTGCTTTTTGAGGAAGAGGTTAGATGAAGAGCACTTGTTCAATGATTTTTAATGTTATGAAAATTATAATCACGTAAGCAAAGCTGTATAAAGTAAAACATTGACAAAGTTTCACAATACCTATTGTTTTGAAACATGAATTTTTCACACAAACTTTTGAAAAACTAAGAATCACATAATCCCAGAGATGGCAGCACCAATAATTAACTGAGTTCCTATTATTGCTACAAGACTTTAGCTGGTAAATAGAAATAGCTTTCTACCATCGACACAGTCCTGAATTAGGCAAGGTCTTCAGGAGGTCATCTCACACAAAGTGGGAACCACCCTTTCTGAATGGCCTGTACTATAATAATCATGATCTGTGACCTGTGGGCATTAAGACTTAAAAATAATTTCCTATGCTGCATCTCCTGTAAAATAGGAACCATTTTCCAACCACAGATAAATGATCCCTATAAGCACTTTAGATCATATATGGTGATCTTCACATAAAACCAAAGCACTGGTTTGAATAAAATTCTCAGCTATTGAGGCATTTTACTGCAACATACCCAATGTTTTCACAAATGCCTGAACTGATCATAGATATGATTTCATGTCAGAAGAGATAGAAATGCTTTAAAAAACAAAGCTGTTTGGAATGGTAAGACATTCTTCTGCTCCTGCCACCTATCTCCCTCACAATGCCCAACCCAGTCTTTGTTTAATCCAACACAGAAACTTTTCACTTTATTGGGAGTGCTGGATGAATTGCATAGCAGTCAGAATGAAGTGTGACCAAAGTCTAAGAGGTTATCTTACACAAAGAACTAGGGCTCCATGTGTAATTAGAAAGCCTTTGGTCAACCCGGAATCCTGTAGAATGCAGCTGCTGAATCCATTATCCAAACTCATGTTTTTGTGTGCTACGATGTTTCCAGTTCCAAAATTGAAAAAGCTGAAGAGCATGGCAAGCCTCTTGCCTCTTTTTGCTTAAAGCAACTTAAAGATTGTTCTAAAATTAAATTCTAATAGAATTTCTAAGAACTTCTGCAAGACTTTGGTTATAGAAGAAGATGAAAAATGACTGCAATCAAGTAAGGAACTAATCTACTTTTCCCCCAAATCAACTCCCCCCAAAAAATAAACAAGAATTTACACACACACACACACACACACACACACACTCCCTTAGGGATCAACTTTTTTCCTGAATAATACATATTTCTTAAAATGTCAATCTAAATCACATTTTTTCAGGTGTGGGAGTTGAATTCGTCTGTAAGTTTAGCTGAGCAAGACAGAATTTGTGAGGATCTTGTCAAAAGGAAATTATATTAATTTTTTTAACAGCATAAAGAAAATGGCAGTGAGCTATATTAGTCCTGCTACATATGCAGGGGATTCTCAAAATGTTTTCTTTGTGCTAATAAAAATATATTGTTCTTGGTATTTTACAAAGCTCTTTGCTTACTAAAAATTCACATCCCACAGATTCTAACTTATAAATTTGTGAATTTTTCCTAGAGATTTTTAGAATATCCTATGTCCAAAATATAATTTAGCAAAGACAGTTTGAACAGAAAAATCAAAGAAAAACAAGGAAAAGAGGGAGGGAGGAGATACATCCTGATTGGCTAAACCTTCCAGGTAAAGCACTATCAATATAACTGGTAGCAGTGACCTGACATAGTTCCCCTGGACATAGAATTTTCTTTGAAAACCCATCCTAGAACTTGACTCCATGAGCTATACAAAAAACAAATTGATAGTTTTTACAGATGCATCAAAATATTATAATTTAGGGTGGGGATTTTGAGGTCCATTTATCAAGATATTCATATAGGCTTCAAGGATCCGTGAACCCCCTGAAATTGCATGGAGGCATTTTTGTATCCATCCATATGTTCCCTTTTCTAAAGAAAGTGTTGCTAGCTCTCCTAGATTCACAGAAGAGTGCCAAGATCCTTGCCTCCACAAATTAGGTTAAGAACCATTGCTTTAGGTCATTGCTAAACACTAGGTATCACTTTCTTTTCCCTGGAAACAAAGGCTGAGTAAGAGAGATGTGACAGAAAAGTGTTACCATGCATTAGCAAGTTTAATTTATAACAAACGTGCTATTTTTAGACCTAATCTGATTCTCTACCTCTCCTAACTAAGAAATTTAAAAATGCTTTTATTTTAGGCTATCATAGCTTTTATTGTCTATCGAATAAATTTTTCAATGTTTTATCACTGAAGGAAATAGGAAAGAATTTGGAGTTATAGACATATAATTTATGAGAAAAGGGATACTATGCTCCAATTTTTACTATTTAATTTTGAGCTTTGTATTAATATACTTGCTTTAATTGTTCTATTTTATAATCAGTCTCATTCCAATACAGAAAATCCTAACCTGAAAATGCTTCTATGTTTCTAGAGGTTATAACATTTTCCAACATTGACAAATATATTGGCAGGAGATAAATTGGCAGTTTATTACTATCATACAAATTAGCCTTAAAAAAAAAAAAAAAAGTCGATCTTTTACATGGATGAACCCTCTCAAAGAGAGGACTTTTCCAGCCATCTTGCTTGCTGTCCTGTAGACCCTAACTGGAACATTTTAGAAAGTTCATTCTAGGACTTCTTTCTCCTTGAGAATACAGAGTGGATAATACTTGGTCTGAGAGTTAAAGTCCCACTAAATTCATGCTCAAGAGTCAGAATTGGGCAAATTTTTGGAGGAGATCCTAAAATGAATGTAGATATATCAGTTTTATATCAAACAGGAAAATGGCATATTGTTCCTTGATAAAAGGCATAGGAGCCTGTGAAAGAGCAAAGCAAAGGGAGAAATAAAGTAGTATATATAGTATTTTGAGAAATACCTCATATCAGAATTTCACATTGGAAAAGATGCATTGTTTTCCAAAGTATATGAAAAGAAATACAAATCCCTATATGGGTGGATATTTTTTAGGACACCAAGTTCTCTCCTAGAAGAGGTGTGCTCTACTAACATTTCAACTTAGCTTTTCATCTTCAGAGCAACTTCCATTTACTTAGTGGTCATGGTCAGCAGCAATGCAAAAGTATCCCCTTCATACATACCCAGATCTTGAGAGAAACCTAGTGTCCAAGACATTAAGGGATCCTGGGTCAAGACAGAGCAGCAAGACCTTTCACTCCCTGACTTGGATTGGAAGGAATAATTCTCAAAACCTCACCATCCAAGAAGACTAACAGGACCCTAGGTCACTTCTCTCCCCAGGTTCCTTCTGGAGAACAAAAAGAAATCTTGGCTTAATCAACAGTCATCCTTTTATTTATATTTTTAAAATGTAGATTTGAACAGCACCCATTTTGGTGTATCTGGCATTTGGAAAATTCCCTTAAAATGAAACTCAAATAAAAAAAAAATATTTTCTAACTTAGAGTAGATAAAGCCCTGCAAGACTGAAGTACTCAGATGTTAAAAGTAAAACAGGTCACATAAGTCAAATAAGATCTCTAGAGCAAGAAACAGAATCCCAAACTATTATTTGCCATTGGGAAGCAGTTTTTTTGATATAAGATAAAACCACAGCAAAAGGGACTAAGGGAGAACCAGGTGACCAAAGGTTTGATGTTTTTTTAAGTTCATATTTACAGAAGTGGCAAGATTTCAATTTTATCTTTTTAAGAGAACTTTTAAGATGACCTTCTAATTTTTCTGTTACTTCTCAACTTCCTAATTATTCTGAGGACATAGGGAGAGAAAACACAGTATAAATCCAAACTGAACAAAAGGGAATTATCAGTGAACGCTGATGATACTTGAAATGTCACTTGAAAATGAATTTAATGTCTCATTGTGCCTCATTTTTAAAATTTGTTCTTTTTAGATATACATGGCAGTAGAGTGTATTTTGACATATCATACATGTATGTCAGACATTCATTTTTTTATTTTTTTAGACCTTGTTGGGCCTTTATTTTATTCATATACTTATATGTGGTGCTGAGAACCGAACCCAGTACCTTACACATGCTAGGCAAGTGCTCAACCACTGAGCCACAACCTAGTCCCATCAGACATTCATTTTTAATACTTCCATTTAATACGTTAGCTTGAACTACACATGCAGCACTGATACAAGAATATTTTTACCTAAAAATAGCAATGTGCCATGGCTTGGAATAAATAGCTTAGAGATTTTCAGAAAGATCTGTGAAACCCCTTAATTCAACTCAATTCACCAAATGTGTACTGATCACGTGCCTGGCGCCTTGCTCAGTAGAGAAGAATTTGACTGTGGCAGGTGCTGTGTCTCCTGGGGAATCAGTTAGGACCACCGTGCTGCTGAGCACCAGTAATCAAGCTGATCGCCTGTGGTCAGGATGCTAGACCTGCAATTTAGCCAGCAGTTGATTCAACAACCACTCTGCAGATATTCAAAGTCTTTAATAAAGAGAACTATTTAACATTTTCTTATCGCTCTCATAACTTCAGGAGGGTGGCAATTTTTAACTTGCCATTTTTTTATATGGGAAATGGAACTACTGGATAGATAAGAGACTTGCTTAGGATTACATTTAGCTTCGAATCTTTTGGCTGCTGGCCCAGTGCTTTTTCTGTTAACCGGTTCCTTTCTCTCCCCTCACCGTAGGCTCCCCTATGCAAAGTAGGGTAATTGGTGCCTTAGCTGACTTGTGCATCCGGACAGCTGTGGGGAGAGGGCAAAGTCAGATGGATGCCCTGGGGGTGGGATTCTGCTAATGAGTTTTCTGTAAATTTTCATTCAATATTTTATCCCTTCATATGTTGTCACCTCCCCTGTGCTCAGTAATTTTAGTTTTTGCTTTTTGTTTCTCTTTTTGTTTCTTTGGTTTGCTGGCTTTGTGTTCTTTTCTCTTTTTTCCCTTTTCTTTTCCTTTTTTAATGCAGGAATCGGACAAGGGGTTCCGGTGGTGGCACTCATCGTGGAAGGAGGGCCCAATGTGATCTCCATCGTTTTGGAGTACCTCCGAGACACGCCTCCTGTGCCTGTGGTGGTCTGTGATGGCAGTGGACGGGCATCTGACATCCTGGCATTTGGGCATAAATATTCAGAAGAAGGCGGGTAGGTAACCCCTGCAGCCCATGTAGACCCAAGGGCAAAGCTTGTGTTTGATGCTTGGAAAAGAGGGTGTGAGATGAGTGTTCCAGTAGCTCAACCAACACCTCACATCAGAATCAGCTATGCACAAATTGTCTAAGTGATGCATATGGAGGGAGAGTTGGGGGGAAAATCAGAGGAACAGACCCTAAATGTCCCATGAAATGACAAATTCCATGGCTTCTGTACCAGACTACACTGATAAGAGAGTGAGGGGAAGAAAGGAGATTGTAGATGTGGTCATCTTTTCTCTTCCTTTCATTTCTCCTCCAAATAAGGAAAAGCAAGAATGGGGTTACAATAAATTAAGCACAGCTAATCTGGACCAAACAGTGCAGGTTAGTAACCAAGTACACCTGAGATGTGCAGCTTCCAGGCTTGCCTTCAAAACTCCAGCATTACCAAGCTGCTGTACAAAACATTTGGTGAAGCCCAGTATGGTAGCACACACCTGTAATTACAGCTACTCCGGAGACTGAAACAGGAGGATCATAAGTTCAAGGCCAGCCTGAGCAATTTAGCAAGATCCTGTCTCAAAATAAAGGATAGCTCAGTGGTAGAGAGCACCTGGATTCAATCCCCAATACTACAATAAATACAGTTAGAAAGCATTTGATGGATAGTGCTCTTAGGTCCCTGTAGCCTGGCTTGGAAAGTTAGGGGGGAAAAAAAAAGTCTCTGTAATGGTAGCTTCTCTGGTCTTTTTGTGAAATCCTCTTGAGTCACCTCCCCATGTACTTACCTTGGTTCATCTGCTGTCTAATGCTGCTTTCACCAGTCCAAAGCCCTCAACCCTGAAGGACTCCTTCACAGGCCTCCTCCAATCTGAGTTCCTACTCAATGACTATTGGGGTTCAAGCATTCTTGCAGATATACAGATCAAAGTAATGCATGTCAAAGTATTCAGGAGTTTAAAGAAGAAACACAAGAAAGTCATTCGTTTTTAAAGAACTTAAGCCAATCAGTTTTCATGACCACACAAAATTAGGAGCTGGGGATCTTTTATTCATGCTTTTTATAAATGTCCAGCAAGTGCCCTGCACTATGTCATACGCTGAGATAAAAAATGAAAATAACAAAATTGCCACCCTTAAGAAGTTATTGTCAATCTAATAAATGGGTGAGCATATAGTTACCAAAAAATGACAGATGAGCTGACCTACTGCACAGGACACTCCCTCCTCTACCTCTCCTATGGAGCCTTCCTTAAAGTAAAGAGACTTCACATTCTAGCTCAACACCACCCCTCCTCTTTCCATCCTAACTCTGTCTTTGCCAGCTGATCAGCCCTCCAGGTGAGCCATAGAGCAGATTTACCTCATTAGTACAGGAACCTAAATATCTGAATTAAGGAATAATGAAAGGCATGGGGCTTCTAGCGGGACAACGGTTTTAGGCCTAAAGAGTTGATACCAAGAAAACCTCTGCCTTTTTTTAATTAAAAAATTATCCATATTCCTCACATTTTAAAATTAACAATATGTCTTTTTCCAGAAATAAACAAGAATTTTATAGTTTTTAGCTTTGGCTTATTTTGTGCTTCCTAATGTTTGCAGATTATTTTATTGTATTCCTACAAAGTAGACACATATTTGCATTCAGAATGCAAGTTTCCTTTTTAAATGTTAAAGAAAAAATAAGCCGTTTACCTCCACATTTCAGGCTTCCTAGGTCTATACATAATGAAAGCTGGAACTTAGCGTCTATTATTTATTATTATCTTGGGTTGTATGTCTTGAAAATGTTCAAGTCTCCCATAAATTTGCCCTTCCTGTTCCTGTTTTTAATATGGGAGAAATTTGATACATCTTAATGGTTGGGAGGTATACTAGATAGTTTAACATAGTAGACAGATATTCAGAGAAGTTAAATGGTTTTCTAAGACCACAACATACCTTAATCCTAGACTAGGATTCTTTCTAGGATATTATAGAAAGTCACTGAAATGTGTTTTGACATATGTGCTTCAGTATTTCTCATAAAGTATTTCAATGAAGTTGTGTTTTAAATATTTAAAAGCACTAAAGGTATGTCCAGCTTCCTCTTTGAATTATCATTTTTTATTTTTTTATTTTTCTCTCTATCCCAATAAAGAGAAAACCAATGTATTTCTGGTTGCAACCAGTGTCCAAATTGAAGATCCCTATGTCATGGGGATCCCTTCCCCATAGAGGCCATCTTCCCCATTCCCAAAATCAATACTCATAACACCATGCCCTTTTAACTTGGCAGTCCTACCTCTAATTATTTTATGGTTGAAATATGTGAAACCACAATCCCACAATATGGAATCTGCATAAACATATGAACATGGCTATGGCTAATTATCAAAGAATATGAAGTATGTACATAAACTAGTACAGAGATAAGAAATATAATTTTATATTTTTATATTTTGAAACTTTAAATCCAAACATTAATATTTACAATGCTTAAGAAAGTAGAAGCCTGAAGCTGTGTGTGTGTGCACATGTCTGTCTATTCACATATTCTATATACAGATTCTATATATATAGATATGAGAGAGAGAAAGAGAGAGCGAGAAAATGTGTTATGATAAAAATGTATTCCTTCTCTAGGAAAGCAGTGATAAATTTATCATGATAAATTAAGTCAGAATGTTCCTTTGCCATCTGAATAACTGCCAGAATTAATCATGTTTATTTAGCTTGAAAGGAAATTGTCTAGCCACATATGTGCAGCCAATTTTAAAAATCATTTCCAAAGAACATTATTTTGCAGTAGTGTGCTTTCTTTTTTGCTGAAAAGAAGACCTGGTTCACCTAGACTATATACACCAGGAAGGATTTCTTTGATTTCTGACAAAGTCCAACATATTTGGACATATTTCACTATAAATATAAAAATATAACTGTTCATATAAACAAATGTGTCATTGTACATATAAAATTAGATATAGGAAACATACACATCCTATTTATGAAAACTATTTCAGGATTGAATCAGTATCTTTTCAGTTACTTTGGTGATATAATTATGATTTAAAATTGTTAATTTATAGGTTTTTAAACAAGACAGGTCAAAGGAGTGTAAATGTGTATATTCAGCTATATACTTTTTCATTTAAAATCTTGGAGTAAAATTTTCACACCTTATGTTTTAACTTTTGTGATCCTTCTGTTTTCTTTAAATTCCTTTCCAAGAACATGAATTTGAAAAGAGAATCAATTTGGAAGCAAAATATAATTGGCAAATCTGATTAGCTTTTGTAGAGATTACCTGAGGTAGAAAAAGACAGATCTTATCTATCACAATGCAAATGAGTTTGGATAAACCAAGAGACAACTGCAATTAAATTCTTATTTTTGTCTTTTTCTCCATTTCTCTGCAACATATACTACCTGAAAGAAAACCTGTTTCTCATCTGTCATGGTTTAGAATGAATCAGTAATCTCTTTCCCTAACTGATTTAATTGCTTCAGAAATATTATCAAATTGTATTTCTTAATCACAAATGACTAAATGCTATAAATGCAAAAAGATCTATGCTACCCAATTAGTGTTAGAATTGCATAAGATGTTAAACACCAAGATCCCACTTTGGGTTGTGTTTGATTGGGTAAGACAAATAGCATTCATTGCCCAAAGTTGAGAACACTTTTCAGGCTGCTGTCTCCTGATGTTGAAATCAGAGACTCCTTTGCCTGATCATTGTCAGCCTCCAGTCTCAGACTGCTAAGTGTGGGTCAGTCCTTCATGTATCATTCAGGGAGAAAGTATTTTTGAAATGAAAAAAATATTAGTTTGAAAAAGACACCTGAATGCATATATGTTCTGAGATGATGCTCCTTGTTCATCAAAATTTTATCACCAATGTATGTTTATTTTAGTATCTTTGTCCCCAAAACAGACATCTGGATTTACCATTTTTAGACATCCTAGGATAAGAAGGAGAACCAGCTGGTAGCAGAAAGCCTTCAAGAATTTTAGTAGTCGGTTTATAATTTTTGGGAAATTATCAGCAAGGCAAACAAGAGACTGTTCACATTCTTATGTTCCAGTGGAATTTGTTTTAGATTCTATGAAGAATAAATGAGCAATGGCTTCCTCATGGCAAAAGAATATATAATATATTCAAATACAAATTAGGCTTTCCTATTTAAAGGGAGCTTGATAAGAGCCCTTACATTTTTTGATGAGCTGAGGCAAAAGCATAAATGGAACATCACTAGAGATGAAAAAGGAAAACTATGTTGCATGACTTCCAATTATATAACCACAAATTATTTGCAGAGATTTGGGGAAAGTTTCTCTTAGAATACACATCAAAATGACCAAAGATGGGAGAAAATCACCAGAAAACTAGGGATTTTAGTAACCCTGATGAAGTCTCTAATCCCTGGGGTCTATCATTCTATGCAATGATCATAAATGTTTTCTCCTGCTGCTCCAGAAATTTCCAGCTTAAGCTGAAGGATGGCAAAGCCCTGTCATTTGTCCCTGTACTACCTGCAGAAAGTAATTGATCTTGGTGGTCTGTGTTCCAGCATGATTTAAACATAATTGAAATGTCAAGTGAAAAAGAAGGAAATGGATATCAAGCATCTTGATTTCAAATGTCCATTTGCCTCTTTTCTAGCATTTCCGATAAAAAATGTCAAAACTTGATTTTTTTTGAAACTTTCTTAGAATGAAAGTAAGGAATCTTGGTAATATCTTGTACAGACAAAACAAAAACATTAGCAGCTTTATTCATTAAAAAGCATTATTTTTGTAAATTTGTTTTCCAACCTAACATTCATGGGGTGCCTACTATGTACATGGAACTACAGGAAGATAAACAAGAACTGGACCTAGCTGTAAGGGATGTTATAATGGATACTAAAACACACAGACATGAATGCATGAGAGGGTCATGCATTCTCTGATAATGGCACACAATATAGGAAGAGCACCAGGAAAAATGCCCATGTAGGGCCCCCCTACACACACAAGAACCCTTT